CTCTCTCTCTCTCTCTCTCTCTCCTGTAATGAACCTGTCTCTCTCTCTCTCCTGTAATGAACCTCTCTCGCTCTCTCTCTCCTGTAATGAACCTGTCTCTCTCTCTCTCCTGTAATGAACCTCTCTCTCTCTCCTGTAATGAACCTCTCTCTCTCTCTAGGTAACCAGGAGCGTGGGTGGAATGACCCCCCCCAGTTCTCATACGGCCTCCAGACGTCCCGCGGGCCTCAGAGAAACCTCCTGAACAAGAGAGCTGCTCCACCAGCAGGTTAGGGAACACGTCTTTCTCTTTCCTCACTCCTCCTTTCCTCTCCTAGCCTCCTCGCCTTCTCTGCTCTTAACTCTCGTGGGCGGGACTAAGACTATATATATATATATATATATATATATTTATATAATATCAAACATCTTGTCTCTGATTGGTCCTCAGGTGCAGGAGCCCCCCCCATGACCCCTCCCTCCTCCAATCCTCTGGCTCCAACTCTAGGTGGTGTAGCTCCGCCCCCTCTACACTCAGGTAAGGAGCAGAAGAAGAAGAAGGGTTTAGTGATTGAAGCCTGATTGACTGACTCCTCCTCTTCCTGCAGCTTGTCCTCCTCTTGGCTGTATGGCCACGCCCCCTCCCCCTCTGGGACCAATGAGAAGTCAGAGAGACGACAGCCAATCAGAGAGCGAGCCGGACGTAGAGGGCGTGGTGTTGGTGCTGAACCTAGCGCTCGATACCTGTAGAGCGACTGTTAAGGTGAGTCTGAACCTGAAGACTTTTATTTTGTTAAATTAATCTGAAGACTTTTATTTTATTTTATTTGTCTGAAGACTTTTATTCTGTTAAATTTATCTGAAGACTTTTATTTTGTTAATTCATCTGAAGACTTTTATTTTGTTATCTGTGTGTAGGACCAGGTGTGTAGTGACGTGGCAAAGAGGCTCCGCCTCCTGGAGGACAGCTGGAGGTCAGGTAGACTGAGCCTACCTGTGAGGAGACGCATGGACACTCTGTCTTTAGGTAACCTGTCTCACCATCTACCTGTCTGTCTACCTCAACACCTGTCTGTCTCTAGACTGACCTGTCTGTCTGCCTGTCTGTCTCTCAGAGTTACAGGCTGGTCACTGGGACTCAGCTGATGAGATCCATCGCTCTCTGATGGTCGATCATGTGACTGAAGTCAGCCAATGGATGGTCGGTGTCAAACGACTCATCGCTGAGACCCGAAAAATGAATCCAGAACTTTTAGAACCACTTCGGAAACCTCCGGGACCAGTCCAGGACCCTGCAGCACCGATCCAGGACCCTGCAGCACCGGTCCAGGACACTGCAGCACCAGTCCAGGACTGTTAATCCTGCAGGGATCGGCATGTTTCTTTCTACTCTCACCAAACTTTGACTATTTTAACCGAAACCAGGATCTGGTGCTGATAATCCTCACATTCATTCTCACATCTCAGCAGAGCTGTCTGGACTCTAGAGGGTTTCAAACTGAGGCTCTCCTACAGGGGGTCCGCTCTGGACTCTGGTCTCCTGATTTGGATTCCTGGACTCTCTGGACCCACATAGACTGTAGACTCTGGACCACGTCTGTCATGTTTCTGGACTCTCAACCTTTATAAGGATCTAAAGTCATGTGATGTTTACACCAATCAGTGAAATAAATCTCTGTTCTCTTTTCTGAATGTCTGAATGTCCTTATTCTTCAGGGACCAGACCCCGACCCTGTAGACCTGATGCAAAGCTGCCAAAGGAGACTACAGAAACATGAGTCCTCATTCTAGATGGTAGAAGTGATTGTTTGTTAGACGTCAACATCAACGTGGAGCTTCATTATGAATGATGTCAACGAGTCGGATTCCTGTCGTAACTAAAAGAAAGAGTTCCGATTAAAAACATTAGATAACAGTTTATTTGTACTCATGTATTCAGAAGACTTACAACCAGATTATTATAAACTGTCTTATTTATTTAAGATTATATGAATTTAACAACAGCAGCAGGTTTCTGCAGTGTTGAGATGTGACCAGCAGGAGGCAGCAGAGGACAGCAGTCCACCCACAGGGATGTGAGTGTCTGTGTGTTTGTCACACTGTGTGTTTAATGTGTGTTCTCTTTGTGGTTGTTTTGCTTCTCTTTGTGGTTGTTTTGTATCTCTTTGTGGTTGTTTTGTGTCTCTTTGTGGTTTTGTGTGTCTTTGTGGTTGCTTTGCTTCTCTTTGTGGTTGTTTTGTGTCTCTTTGTGGTTGCTTTGCTTCTCTTTGTGGTTGTTTTGTGTCTCTTTGTGGTTGCTTTGTTTCTCTTTGTGGTTGTTTTGTGTCTCTTTGTGGTTGTTTTGCTTCTC